AAAAAAACTTTGATCAAAGGCTGTACCACCTGATGGAGTTGATGATGGAGGGGCTGCCGTTCCTGTGCAAGTGACAAGGGAAGAAATCTCAAGAAATCCAGGGACTTAAGGGCACAATGTCTATGGCAAAATGGGGACTACACCTCAGGCCACCTGATTTTCAAGGTCACATCAACCCCCCACTAAGTGCATAACCACCAAGAGACAGTGTGGTTTACTAATGTGAAGTTTAAGTGAGAACAGCACACACTTTCTGTTTACCTGCCACATTTGTCAACCAGCAGACCAACTATCAGCGAACCCAACGAGCCGCCCAGGGGAAACATGGATACGGTGCAAGACCACAGGAGCCGCATAACCTTCTCGTCCATGAACGTCCATGTCGCTCAAAGTAGATGTCATTATAAAATGACTTCAGGACCTGGAAAATATTGCCCCATCGGTAGCCAAAAATATTGGGCAGCTCACGAGAGATGCTGAGGTAATGTTCTCAGTTGCCTTTTGTCATTGTGCTCCTAGGACACGATTGATTCTCTGCTGTTCCCTGAGAATAAAAAAACCTACTGTATGATGGGGTGTATTGAGGAACCACACTACACAAAAAGTTGTTAAAAATTCACTTTGCAGGACCTTACTCTGCAAGAGGCAACATAAATATTGTGACTAATTGTGTGACTTTGGGCAAGTTATGTTACCTCTATAAGCCTTAGTTTCCTTATTGGTTATAGAAAGAATATATATCAAATAGAGAACTTGTAAGTATTCAATGTGACATTACTTAACCGAGAAAAGATGTCCCATCGATGGTAATAATTATAAGCATATTAACATATGCCTTGAGCAACTACAGCAGTGCCTTCTCTAAAGCAGATGTTGAATAAAGTGTAGCTATAAACTGATGACACTGATGTTAAAAGTACAGCAGAACTTATGTACCCAAATGAACGGTAACAGTGAGGCCTGTCCTTGCTCTTTCGGGGACTTTTTCCCTGTAACTGTCCCCTGTCTGTCCTGCATCACTGGTCGATCCCTCTTTATTGCATCGTCCTCCCTTAATATACAAACATGACTCTTGCCCTATGAAAATCTAACATGCTCCCCTCATCTCCCCTCACTAAACCCACTGAACTTTTTGCTCTCCCGTGCAGCGACATTGCAGGAAGCAGTCTGTCCTTGCTGCCACTACTCCATCCCATTCATTCTCTCTTGACCCACTGCCTCCAGCTCTCACCTCAGCTGCTCTGGTCAAGGGCGCTCATGTCCTCCATGAGGTCAAAACTACTGGTTAGTTTTCAGTCCCCTTCTTGACTCATCAGTGGGCATATCCCCCTTCGCTGATTCATGTCTTTTTACCAAGCTTTGGGGACACTCTGCCCTCAGGTTCGTCCCTGCCTGATATGGACCCCCTCTCTTTTCCCTTTGGTTCCCCCAGCTCCAACCCCACTCCCTACATGCCCCGGGGTTCAGTCTTTGAGCCCATCCCCTTTGCTCTCTGCAAGTGGTCTTCTCGGGGTAAGGACAGTGGGACTAAGGCCCAAAACAACTGGGCAGTGAATCTAGGTACTCCCCACCCCCCACCCCGTGTCCCGAAGTTCCCGAAAAGAATGACATCCCAAGGAGAAACAACCCTAGTCATCTCCCCGCTCACCAGAGGCGGGCATCCAGGGGAATACTTAGAGAGAACAGTGGCTTCCGGAAGGAAGATGGCGACTTCCGGAAGGAAGATGGCGGCCCCCGCAGAGGAAAATGGCGGCAGTCTCCCAGTCCCCTTGTACTTACCTTGTGCGGCGTGTTGACCACGGCAGTGTTGTAGCCGAGCCGAACACTGCGTTCAGTGTCGCCAAAACCAGTGTGGGCTGGATCCTCTGTGAGAGATGAGGTCTACGGTCAGGGACCCTGGGGGCTGGAACTTAAGACCTCCGGAAGTGGGGCCGAGGCTGGGCCGGAAGTAAGGGACCCAGAGAAGGTGGACGTGGTGGCTGGTGGGGAGGCGACCCAAGGCAGAGGGTGAGGCTCTCTGGGCTCCGAAACGGTGTTGGGGGGGCGGGGCAATGTAAGGAGCGTGATGGCATCGTTTCTTGTTCCTCCATCACATCCATTCCTGGAAGATATATCTGAGCATCTGAGCATGTGCCTGGCCCTGCGTAAGGTAAGGAGGTGCTTCGGAAAAAGGTCCACCATCGTGGTGCCCTTGTAGAGCTTACATTCTAATAAGGTGGGGGGGCAAAAAAAAAAAAAAGCCAGATATGAGAATTCCAAATAACAATAATGCTTTGAGTACAATGAAGCAGGGTAACAGGTTAGAAGGTTAGAAGCCAGTTAGAAAAGAGGAGTCATGTTTAGTAGGGTGGACAGAGAAGGCCTCTCTGAGGAGGCGCCTTTGAGCTGAGCCCCACCTGGAATAGCGGGAGCAGCCTGGGAGCATCTTAGGGTGGAATGTTCCAGGTGGAGGGAGCGACAGAGGCCCTGAGCATGCGTGAAGCTTGTCTTTCGCTCAGGGACAAGCCCTCAGGAAAACCAAGGCAATTGTGCTTCCATGGCTACCACAGCCCCCAAGACAGCTCACGGGAAATGGCCCCGGAGCCAAAGTCTGAAGAGGGGGTGGTAGAATTGGGGCAAGGTCTGTGGCTCCCAGGACTTCGAGAAACCAGCTGGTTCAGAGCCATGGCCCTGGACCAGCCCTAACTCTTCTGCTTGCTTTTAACAGCACCCCTGACCTCCCGTACCCACCACCAGCCGCCTGACTGCCAACAGCCCTTCACCAGTGAGCCAGCCTGATAGAGAAGAGCAGATGCAGGCTTCAGGCACCTTCGGGGCTGGGGAACAGGACAGGGGTAGGGGTTGGAGGGAGGGTGGCCTCTCCAACGTCATCCAGTCTCTCACACTTCATCAGAGCTGGACTCAGCCTCCCTCTTGCGTGTCTGAGCTGAGATGCCTGAGAAAGCTGCTTGCCCTCCACTGATCTTCCAGGGCTGGGGACCCCCCCCGCCCACCCCAGTAAAAGCAGGAGCATTTCTGTCCTCTCCTGGCTAGGAGCATTTCAGGAGCCTTCCCCTCCCTCTACAGCAACCCACTCCTGATGGGAAAGGGACAGGGACAGGGACAGTGACAGTGACAATTTTGTAGACTTGGCACTTACCCCATTCCTGGGTGGGCTGGGCATCTCCATCCTGTTCAGGTGAGAGGTGTGCTCTGCCTCCCAGGTGACACCGGGTCCTGCTTGGCGCTAATCGCCTCCCCAGAACCAGCTCTCTCTCCCCTGGGTCTGTGTGGTTTATTACCTTTTTGGCCTCTGGACCCTGCCGACTTTCCCCGGGAACACATTTTCCTTGAATGTGCTGATAAGTTTCCCACACAGCATGGATTTTGTCTTTGCCTCTGCCAAGCCCCAAACCAGAAGCTCCCCAATTGCACCAAGGAGGGGAAAAGACACTGCCTGCCATTGGTCCCTAGAAACCTGGGGAGGAGACCCAGAAACCCAGTTGGGCCTGATTGCCTAGATCTAGGAGGCTTCTCCTGTGTTAGTTCTTTGTCTGTGTTTCATCTTATGAATTTGGAGTAATGTCCCTTTGTGGGGGAAGAGCAAATGAAATCCTTTTAAAGAAATACAACTGAATTATTTCCAATTATACTTACTGGTATTAAATAAGTCAGTAAAATATTAAACAAAGGTGCTCATTTCAGAATTATCGCTATTGGCAAAAAATAAAGTAGGGAATGATTGAATAAGTTATGACAAATCAACTGATTGGAATGCTAGGTGCCGTTTCAAGGGATAATTATGAAAATTATAAAACGAGTTGGGGTACAGCCACACTGCCCTCCACAGCTGCAGAGTGGGGGGAGGCGGGCACAGACACGTTGTAAGGGGCTGGATTTTGTGCACGTTCTTTCTCTTCTCTTGTTGTAGTGGAAGTAGATGCTGCACTGCTTGATGCTGGTGTGCAAACTGTCTGTCCTCAGTGACCTTGACTCATGCATTGGTCTCTCCCCTAGGTGGCACTAACTTGCCTTTTAACCTTGGCTGCAGAGCCTGGCCACCCATTGAACAGCGAAATACTAACATTCATATTTCTACCAACAGTCCGTTCAAGGCCATCTAGGCTTTCTCTGTCATGCTCCTCAGAATTCTTCCAGCCTCTTCCCATCGCCCAACGCCAAAACTCCTTCCATATTTTGAGGTGTTTGTCGCCACTTCCCCTGATTCCCAGAACCAAGATCTGCATGAGTTTCCTGTGACTGCTGTAACAAATTACCAAAAACTTAGTGGCTTAAAACAACACAAATTTATTACCTTATAATTCTGGAGATCATAAGTGCGACCCAGGTTTCACTGAGCTAACGTCAAGGGCTCAGCAGACCTGCATTCCTCTCCGGAGGCCCCAGGGGAGAATCTGTTTCCTTGCCTTTTCCAGCTTCTGGAAGCCACCTGCATGCCTTGCCCACAAGCCTTTCCATAATGAAATGACAAGAGTTGCTGCCCTCCTGTTCCTGAAGCCTATCTCCTGTGCTTAAGTGACATCAGGACAGAGGGCAATGTAGTGAGGTTTCCATAAAGAAAACTCTATTCAGTTTAAAGGACTGAAATTCTGTGATTGCATTCTTTGTGTATAGTAAAATGCCCTTTTAAAAACTTGCCTGTTTCTCATTATGATAGTAGTTGGGATTTATGTATGTATGTATGTATGTATGTACGTATGTTTTAGTGTCTTTGCTTGCGATATTAAAAGTAGGCAGCCCAATGTTAGATCACCCAGTTTTGGCTTATGAAATCCAGAAATGTGGAAACCACTTGTGAAAACTGCTTTCCAACTGCCTAATTGGGTGATGGATGTGTCATCCTGAGGCTGGCAATGTCTCCCCAGTTTTGCTCGTCCCTACAGCAGCTCAGCCTCATGCTGTTCTGCTTTCACCACTTCCAATCCTCCCCGCCAAGACTCATCCATTCAAACAAAACATTCCCCGAGCCTCTGCTGGATTCCAGCCACTGTTACCAGCACAGTGGATACAGCAGTGAACAAATGTGGTCTGTAGCTCCTCCTCACCTCCAACTCTCTCGCTTGCTAACTGCCCTGACCTTGACTGACCTTGATCAGCATCCAAGGTACCTCCCACCTCCTGACATTTTCCAATTCTCCCAAAGCATCATTTCTCCTTCATCTGCACTAATCTTTTTAGCCAGTGTGGCCCCCGATGGTCTCCAAAGCTTTTCCATTGCATCTTCTATCAGTATTAAAAATTTGAACACAAATCTCCAGTAGATGCATATTTATTGTTTGTAAGTTATATACATGTACATGTTATGTGGTAAACACACACTCAAAAAGGAATCGTGAAGGGGGAGGGGAAAACTAAGGATAAATGTAGGTTCTCGTGTTTTTCCTCTGCCCTCACCCTAGCCGTCTCCCCTCCACCCTCATTTTCCCCAAATCTGCTCTCCTTCAGGTCGCCGAGTCGTCAAGTCTGATGGACACGTCTTTTTCTAGTCCCAGAAAATGGCAGAGCTGGCAGCTCAGTCTTTTTTGGCAGCTCCTGTGTCTCTTGTTTGATAGAGTCCCACCTCCCACCTGTTATCTTCTCAATCTGTGCTTCAGGACAGTCGTAGCAAACCTGGGGCTTTAATCTGCTCAGAGATCTTTTGGAAAGGATCCGATCTTCTCCAGGGCAGCTGGAATGGCTCTAAAGTGCAGATAGGATTAGGACACTCTGGCTCAAGTCAGCCAGTGGCTTCTCATTCCATTCAGAATGAAACCCCCAATCCTCCCAGTGACCTAGTATATCTACTTCCTGCCCCCGTCCCTTCCAGCTGCAGCTCCGCGGACCTCTTGTCATCCCCTGAACCTTGGCCTAGCCCTGTGTCACTTCATGATACTCGCCCCTACTGTTTTGTTGGCCAGGCCCGTGCTTATGCAGATTCTCTCTGCTGCCCCGTTCCTCATTCAGGGGGGCCTTCTTCCGCCTCCCTAGCTGGAGGAGAAAGAGCAGCGCCCCACCTTATGCTGTTCCATTTCTCCTTATCACACCTCTCACTCCACGACGTGGTTTTCCCCGGTGCCTGGAACACACCTAGGTGCTCAGCAAATATGTGTAGTTTTCCCCAAATCTATATTCCCGCTCCCCGGGCTCCGGGGCCATGTGGCCAACTTCCGTCTAAGAGAGGAGGCATGTGAGAAATGCAAAGGAAGGGGCTTACGGAAATGCCTGACTCAGCTGGTTATAGATTAACCACATCCTGTAGATCTCTGAATGGCCTTCTGGAGACTTGTCACACACCTACACTAGAAACGATCTGTAAATAGATAGAACTGGTGGTCCGGGAATTTCTTCCTCCTTGCAGCCCCCCCTCCCATCCTGAGTCAGGAGGTGCACATAGAACCTCAGACAAAGGAATCACGCACCCCTTGCATAGACGTTACAGGGGTGTACAAGCTGTAAGAATTCTAACTGAGGAGAGCTCGCGCTTTGGTGTGCTTAAAGCCTCACGCACTCTGCCGGCATTAAATTCTCCTTCCTCTAACAAAGTTGTCTGAGCATCCAATTTCTTCCATCGGGTGTCGCTTCCTGCAACACTTGTGGACAACTTCTGTGTGTCCCCTGAGCTCTTCCGTCTCAACACATCCAAAAACTTTGTCATCTTCTCCTCAAACCTGCCGCTCAGCCCCCCAAACCATTCTCCACCGGCCCACAGTCGAGACCCAGCAGGGGTGCCAGAAGCTGCACCTGTGATGAGCTAGCGGTCCCTCTGAATTCTCCCCCGTGGCTGGGCTCGACCGCTGTTGGCTTTGCAGGGCCCTCGCTATTGCCTGTCAACTGGTCTCCCTACTCAAGTTCCAACCAGTCTTTGTTACTGCCGTGACACGCTCTGAAACCCAATGATCACGAAAACTCATCTTGAGGAACAAAGTCAGACTCGGTTTGGCTCAGAAGGACCCACAGGTTCTAGGTTGGCCTCCCATGCCTTTCTGGTTTCACTTTCAGACCAAACTATCTGGAGTTCCCCGAAACACCTCCGCTTCTCTGTGCCGTCCTCTCGCCTGGAACGTCCACCCTTCACGTTCCTACTGCATCTTCTCCACCTGGAGAGACCCTTGTTGTCTTTCCTAATTCCACATCTTCCTCCTGTGCAACCATAGCAGGCCCATACTTTTCTCTTCTTGCTGAGTTTTACTAACCCATATAAGTACAGGTATCTATAAATATTTCTATTGGTAACCATTGGTATCAATAGTAAGCTGAACATGAGTTCATACCAGGATCTCCAACTCTAATCTATTAGCACATGGATCATTCTAGACTCCCTCTCTTGGCTTATCTGTAATTTCCTGCTGCAACAATGAGATGCTTCTCACCATCTGCCACCCACTTACCTGATTGTTTGATCTCAGCATACGTGTACAGCACAGGTCTTCACTGTGTTTTACCTGTGGGTTTATTTGTCCTCAAGATCAATGCTCATTCCAAAGCACTTAAAAATAACTAAGTACCTAATACACGCCAGGCATCAATCTAAACACTGTAAACACATCATTTAATTCTCATAACCAGCCATGTGAGACGTTTCTTACTAGTGCCATTTAACAGAAGAGGAAACTGAGGTCCAGAAAAGTCAAGTTAAGTTGCCCAGTTGCGCAGTTTCTCAGTGGCAGAGCCAAGGTCAATCCCAGGGGGTAAAGCCCCCGAGTCGTGAACTCCACAGCCTCCCCGTGTACAAGGTGTTGCAGGTAACAAGAGCTGAATTAATAATGCCGGTCCCTCGACTTCTGACATTACTGCTCCCCAGAGTTGAGAGCCTCCATCTTTGGCTGTTTTTGTGTACCGCCCCGCCTCCCCGCCACCACACACACACTGCAGATCCCTGCTGAAGGTCAGGGATGGTTCGACCCCGTCGCTGTGCTATTTACATCGTTCGTGCGCTCACTACTCTTAGTTATTTAATTCATCATTCTACTCTCACAAAAGCTGCTCCCAATTCCACCCCTGCCCCGCCTGGCCCCTGGCCTCTGCCCCGCTAGATCCCAGATTTCATATCTAGCCGGAAGCATTTCAGCAGATGGTGCCTTCGCTTTCCTTCCCCACACCTCGAAGTTTTCTCTACCTTTTCGTACCCTCTTCACACACACAGGTCTCTGAGGAAAGCCTCTGGCTCCGCTGTTCGTGCGAGGTGCATTCCTCCCTCCCTCCCCATCCTACCTTCAGGGCCCCTTGGTGTTCACCACATACCTGAAGACACGCAGAGGCTTCCCCAATCTTAAATTTTAAAAAATCACAACTTTGCAATGACCTCATCTCTCACTTCTCCCTTTCTTTCAAAAAACACTGCCTGACACCAGAGCGCAGCCAACCTGCTAAAGGAGCATGGGACGCCCCCGACCCCCGCCCCGCTCCCAGAAAAGAAGCACACCTTGGTGAAAAGTGATCACAATCGTTTTATCGAGTATACAGAGGCAACGCCATCGTCCTCTAACAATATAATTTAGGACTAATAATCTGACTCGGTTAAAGTTTCCACAGGGGACTGTTCCCCAGCTTCCTAGACATCATTACTTGTGACAACACACTTCTCAAGAGTGGTGATTCTGGAGATGGATCTGACAAGAGGAAGAATTTCTCTCTGATCACATGCCGGTGGCCCCTAGAAGACCCAGGGGATTGGAGAAGAGTTTGTTTCTCTGGCCAAATTTGATTCCTTTCATTTTGTCACCATAGTAATGATTTTTGTTATAAGAGATGGTGTTACCAGAAGCCACACAATGGCCAACCCAGCATGGTCGAGGGACAGCTGCTCGCTGTGACTCTGGGTTGGTGACGGGTCAGTCTGGAGAAAGACAACCTGGCTTTTGTGAGCTGCACAGAAGCCCTTCGAGAAGTCCCAGCAGGGCCTGCATTCCACCTTGGACTTGTTCAAGTTCTGGATTCTTATAGACAACTATTAAGAAAAAGCCCGAGAGCTCCCCACCGATCTACTGAACAGGCGGCGCCTCTCGAGTTACTGCTCCAGAGACGAGGGCGGGAAGTCCGTTAGTTCCTCTTTCTCTGGGTGCACCTCTGACACCTTATTCATCTTGGCAAAAATCTGATTGATCTCCATGAATGTCTTGGCCTTGGTCTCGGGGACAACCAGGAAGGTGTAGATGGTGGTGAGCAGACATATCACGGCGAAAATGATGAAGCTGTAAGGCCCGAGGCCCACCTGAGGGAAGGGGAGCCAGGTTCACTTTCTTGAAGAGGTTCTCGCCTTACCGCTTGAGGATTTTGTGACTCCAGGGCCCCCGCGGTCGCACTTACTTGAATGAAGGGGAAGACCAAGCCCACGGTGAAGTTGGAGAGCCAGTGGACGCTTCCCCCGACCATGAAGGCAGACGACCGGGAGGACTGCAGGAAGACCTCAGCGATGAACAGCGCGGGGATGGGACCTTGGGAGAGGAGGAGGCAGAGCTGTTTTCCCTGAGGGCAGAGCAAGGCCTCCAGGGCTCCTGGAGCCCCTGCTGTGTGCGAGGTGCCCTAGGCGTGTGGTCCAGCATGGGAGTGACAGCCGCCAGGACTCATGGCCTTGTGGAGAAGCAATGTGAGAAGGCCAATAGCAGGAGTTTAGCACAATAAGTGACATCCTGTGTTGTCCCTGAAAGGGGCCCGGGACCACCTGTAAGGCTCTCAGCGCCGGTCCCAGAGGGCAGCGTGTTCCAACCCGCACAGGCCGCTTTACTGTTTTTGCTCTAAGTATGCCCTGCCCAGACCCCGGTGTGAGAGGGAGATGCGCCTCCCCGGGCCTCTCTAGAGAGCTTGAGCCAGCAGTGTCTGTGACTGATGGTGCAGGACAGGGGGCAGCGAGAGCACAGAAGCAACAGGGTACATACTGGGCCCAAGGGCGTGTCCTATGACGTAGGAGATGACACAGACGATGCTGAGGTAAGGCATCCACGATATTGTGTCCTGTGGGGAGAAAACAGAATTGGATCACACCTGGCAAAGCAGAGACGGCCTGGGTCAGGGACCTTGGTACCCAGAAGGTCAGCCATTCTGCCAGGTTAGGGAGGATGGCACCTGGCTCCTCCTTCAACAGGCGATGCCATCTGATGCCGCTGGAAGATCGGCTGGAAGTGGGCAGTGGGCTACAGGGATGGGGGGCATGCATAGTCACCCTAGGTCCCTCTCCTCACCTGCAGAGCCAGAGCAACTGTCAGCACGCAGCAGGCAGTGAAGCAGATGGAGAAGCCCAGGAGGATGAGGAGCCTCCTGCCCATGAGCTCCACCACGAACACCTGGCAGGGGAGGGGCGAAGGAAG